CTATCTTGAAAAAAAGCCTATGCTATATTAAAAAGAGGCCCATGGGCTTCTTTTTGAGGCTAATTTTGCAAACTAAAGAGGTGGGCTTCATTCGAGATGGGCTTAATCTCGAGAATCTGGGCTTCAATTCAATTCTTAATGTTTTTATGAGATCAGTCTGATTAAGGTGAATTGAAATCAATAACAGTTATAATTAAAGTAATACTGTAATAATTATTATCATAATGAAATAATAGTTTTAATATACAGTTCAAGTATATTAGTTTACATTTTCCAAATTCAAATACATCATGTAATTATCTTTTATACTGATAAAATGTTAAACTTTTTAAGCTAGAAATTACATGATACAAGTGGTAATTCAAATCCTTAAACACATTAAAATCAAGTGATACAGCAAGTACAATTTATGAAGTGGGAAATGATTTAGTCTCTAATTTTGCTTGGTTTTGAGTCCAATGTTTAGATTTTATGAGACTAGTGCAGACTCTTGCTGTTTATCTGTTGTATCATCCACATCATCCTAACCATCCTCATTGTCATCACATACACCATCATCAGCATAATCCTCACAATCCTCATTCTCATTTCCATCATCATCATCGGTATCCGACCAGTTGGTCACCAAAACCAGTTTGTCGAATCAATTTCACCGAAAACATGAAATCCCAGTTTCCAGAAGCCGAACCGTTGTACGTACACTACTATTTTGAATAAATATAAAAATGGCAATTATGTAGGCGAAACCGAATGTAAACTCGGACTTAAAACCACAAAAAGAGTTAATAACCCATCAAAAGTGCTTCCCACTCACCGCTTATAATTCACCAAGCCATTAGTGATTCAGGCTCTATAACCTTAAGCACAATTTAAAATGTATGTATATGTATATATATATATATATATATATATATATATTGCCTATTAGCAATCATGATTTAAATATTATTACTATGATTTCTCGGCTGTGACCTATAAGCTTTTTTGTTAATCTGCCACTGGATATAATGATATATGCCCTGCAGTCGATTTCAGAGACGCATGCTGTTATTATCAACAAGGTCATTTTTGGTCAGGGTGCTTGATCGAGGAACCTATGGGTAGAGCCCCTAGTGGACAGGGGTCCCCTGAGAGTGCATAGGCGTTACGCCACTGCGCACGTCACATTGCTCATGGAATTACAATGGCGCGGTGTGTGCCCAGATTTAGCCTTATGGTGAGGTTACATTATCCCCTCTATCACTAGCTGTGTGAATGAGCGAGAATGAAACAAAATTTAATAATTTGGTAACATAATTCTGAACTGTGTTTGCTGGTGTATCCTAACCCACCGCCTACAAATAATGATTTCAAATATAAATAAAATTTCATTTCAATTATATAAATTTAAAGCATTTAACCATCCCATTACTACCCTGTTTATATTCACCAATAACATTTTATTTTTATTTTCCCCTCTGTCATTGTGTTTTTGGCAAAAATATTTGCTAAATAAGAAAATAAAATCTTGCTTTTATTTATTTTCCGCCCTCCTTGAAGTTTGCAAAACAAGGTGTAAATAAGCCTCGCCTTATGACTGGTAAAATGTACATTTCAAAAGAACAATCACACACATCATAAGTAAGGCTAACACAACAAACGTATTCATATATGTAAAAATTTATTACAGTACAGTACTTCCATTTTCACTAATTTCATCCCTTTTACACTTACAACAAAAGTGTAACAAAAAATGTACATATATAAATAAATACAACACTTTGCTTCTGAATCAAATCCTGATAAATTTACACAATTTTGCCAAATGATTCCAACAACAAAAAACTAATATTATTCATTATCTATGGCAAAAATAAACAAGATCCATATTTACATAATTTACATTTTTCTAGGCACAACAAAATTATAATAGTTGCAAAACATGTTGCATACAAATAATGAATATTGTTGATTTGCAAAACAGTACTCTTTGACACCCAAACATAAAAGTGTAATAAATTTGAAATACATATCTAATTCATAATACTGTAGTAAAGTAAAACAAAATGAACCTTCCTCATGTGATATCATGTAGAGCAATCTTGAAATTATCTTTCATTGTAGGTTTGCTTAAACTTTCGTTTATTACGCTACATTAGCCCTCCCCCAACTTCACTCTTGGTAGAGGTAAAATAAGTATCATATCTCCTCATGTTGCATATTTAGTAAAGGAAGGGAAGCATTTCCTCCACCTTGCATTGTAAATAGGTGAAGGGGAATGTTTTTCTTCCCTTTGATAAATTGCTAGATAAAGCACAGAACAACCCAATATTATGTTAAATGTCAGAATTATGAGAAATACAATTACTGTACCTGTTTTGGCACTACTATAATGAGTCCAATTTGTTTTAAAGAATTTATATTCATGATAATAAAACAAAATATAATAATTGTATTATAGTAATACAGTATTAACAATTGTGATAATGGATATAAGTCTAATGCAGTACCATGTTTAAACTCTTTTAAACTGTTTAACAGCATCATGTAGCTCAGAAATTCACGATTGGCGCACTGCATATTCAAGAACAGCAGAGCAGTGTTTTTTTATTTTTTTTTTCCAAACATTGTTATACAATTGATTCTATTAATGGCAGAAGACGATTTAACACTATATAGAAAGCACCCATAATTTTTTTATTTTTTTTTAAATAGTGGATATATTTAGGTCATTATAAACAAATGATGAAAGAACGTCAGACTTCAAATTTCAATGTTTACAATAAGAAATGTTTATGTCAAACTGGAAACAGTGACATAAATGTATCCACAGCCTCTTATTTTTAACCAAAAGAATATCATTATAATAAGGAGCTACATATTCTCTTTTGCACTCTTTTATACTCACAACTTTTGTGAGCCCTGTACATGGTAAAAGTTTGTGTGAGCCCAGCATATGTGGTAATCACATGATTAGCACAGGCTAACTGCTAATGAAGCATCTAGACAGCCCCCCCCCACATGCTAACTGCTAATGAAGCATCTAGACAGCCCCCCCCCCCCACCAATGCCATTTCGTACATAATGGGAAGTTTTTTTTAATTATAATTTGTGCAGGCAGTGAAGAGTAACACAAGAGCACAAAATTACAGTAAGTCATCATCTTATGATGCCATTTTAAATTTAACCTGACTTCAAATTAACATTAAAAAAGTTAAAAAACAATTATTTGTAAGGATAGTATCAAGAATTAATGTTTCTTTTTTTTCTTCTTGTGTTTCTTGTTCTTCGTTCTAATTTCTTCCTCATTTTTACGAACCTTTTTCTTGTGTTTATTTTTGTGTTTTTTATGCTTTTTATGTTTCTTGTGTTTCTTTGTTCTAGTTTCACTTCCGCTAGACTGACTGCTGTCGGTATCACTTGCACTCTCGCTATCTTCTGAGGGACTACTATCTGCAGAACTGCTTAAACTTTTCTTCCTTTCTCTCTCCTCTTTTTTCCGTTCTTTTGATTTTATTCGTTGTTGATGATCATTTTTTTCTCTGTGCACAACTGGTTCTGACTGGAATTTATTGGTAGGCCCATCCCGTTCATGCTTAACAGTTGGGTTTCTTTCCTCTATGTGTCTACGTGGTTTTCTCTGCTCTGGTTTTTCTCTTTTCAATTCTATAGGGCTTCTTTCTTTCTTTATTTGTTGCCTATCTGGGATTTTTCCAAGTCGATCATGTATTCTCAGTTTACCTTTGTTTGTAGGGGGATCCTGTTTTCTCTCTATAATACTTCTTTCTTTATTATTTCCATCACGTCCCTTCCCTTTCCCCTCACCTGCACTATTATTCTTTAATTCTTTTTCTTGCTTAGCAATTGATTTAACTTTTTTTTCATCAATGTTATCATTTCGTTTCCTCTTTTCTGTCTCTTTCTTTTCATCTGAAACAATGCTATCAGTCTTTTCAACTCTAGGTATTTCTTTACTCTTAGGCTTTCCATCTTTTTCTTTAGAGTCTTTCTTGTCTTTATCTTTTAATTCTTTGTCATGAACTTCTATGGTTTCATCATAATCAGGCTCAAAAGCAACCTCCTCCATGTCAGGCTCAATCACATTTAGTGAGGTTTTTGGTGAAGATCCTTCATCGCTAGATTCAAATTCATCCCGATCCCATTTCGATACAGGCACTGAGATGGTGATTAAGTCTTCACGAGGTGTATCTTCAATTACATGACTTTGTTGTTCTGGTTCTTTCTCAATGACGTTCTTCACCACCTGAATTTCTTGGGTGACCACATTAGTTGTGACTACACGTCTTTCATCTTGAGCTGGTACCATTTTGGTGACTTTACTAGACATGGCCTTTTTCTTGGGACTGTAGCCTGGAGGGCTTGTACTAGAGTAATCCACAACACTGACTGCAGACTTGAGTCCTTGAATGTTCTTGTCTTGAATTTCTTTGGTAACAACTTCTTCTAGCTTTGGAACTTTAGCTTCTGGTTCCTCTGAAACTACAGGAACTGCTTCCTCATTAGTCTCTCCTTGTTTGGAATGTTTTCTTTTTTTCTTCTTTTCCTTCTTCTCATGAACCTTTTTCTTCTTTTTCTTTTTTGTTTCTTTTCCATCTCCACCTTCTCCACCATTTTCTCCTTCAGACTTTTTCCTTTTCTTTGCTTCCTTCTTTCTCTTCTTCTTAAGTTTTTCTTCTTCCTCTGACTTCTTCTTTATTGCATCCTCGCTAATATCCGTCTTGACCTCCATACTATTATTTTCTGCTTCTTTTCTCTTTTCATTTTTCCCTTCCCTATCATTTCCATCTTCATGCTTGGTTTGTTGTTCAGCTGGTTTCCTCTCCTTATTTTCATCCACATCTTGGCTTTTAGGTCTATGACTATCACTGTCCCTACTTCTTTGTTCTCTTTCACTGTTTTCACGTCTACCACTTGGTTCACGCCTATCACTTGGTTCTCGTCTATCACCATGTTCTCGTCTGTCACCATGTTCTCGTCTGTCACCATGTTCTCGTCTGTCACCATGGTCTCGTCTGTCACCATGTTCTCTTCTTTCCTTTGGATCCTTTCTACTTCTTTCTTCATTTTTGTATCTTTCTTTCCTTCTGTCAGACCCATCTGGTCCTGATCTATAATCAGCTAATTCTTTACCATATGATCGCCTTGCCCTTGGGCTATGCGATCGTTGTCCTCGTCCTTGTTCACCATACCCTGGAGAGAGGTGACCTGGAGGTGGTCCATGACCTGGTGATGGCCTATATGGTCGATCTCTTGGTGGACCATGGGGCGGTCTATGATCCCAATCATCCTCCCATGGAGGCATCATTGGATAATCTGATGGCGGTCCAAATGGCCCAGGTGGTGGAATAAATTCTGCTTCATATGGTTGGCGACCATAAGGTGGAGGTGGTCCTCCATAATAATCATCATACATTTGGGGGTGTGGAGGGGGCAGTGGTGGTCGGTCATAGCGGTCATGCTCGTAGTACTGATCATAAGGAGGATACCGAGAATCAAAAGGTGGTGGAGGCCCTCTATCATAACGAGGTTCATAACGATAATCTGGTGGTGGAGATCGATGATATGGACCATATGGCGATCTTGAACGGTGCCTTTTCTGAGAATAATGTCTTGAATGGACAGGAGATCGATGTCTTCTAGGTGATCTAGTTCGCGATCTTCTAAATTGAGGTGACCTTGATCGTGGCCTCTGAGATCTATATCTAACAGGAGTTCTTGATCGAGGTCTGTTTCTTGTGCGAGAAACAGAACGAGATCGTTTCCGCTTCACAGGTGACTTTGAACGACCCTTTGAATGTGACCTTCCTTTAGAATGTGATCTACCCTTTGAGTGCGACCTACCCTTTGAACGTGACCTACCCTTCGATCTTGATCTTCCCTTTGATCTTGATCTTGACCTGGAACTTGAACTGGTAGTTGAATATGATCCAGCACTAGAACTGTTGCTACTGCTGGAGCTTGACCTTGCATGTGCCTCAGCTTCAGCTTTTTTCTCTCGGTCTCTACGCTCTTTCTCTGCCAATTCTCTTTCAAAGGCTGCCAGAGGATCCTCTCGATCACTAAAAAAAGAAGCATAGAAGGTATGAATGCAAGCACTTTATATCAATATTGAAACTGACAATGACATTGGAAGATCTATAATATTATTAATATATATGAAGGGTGTTTCGGGTATTTATTAAAAGTTTTATAACAATCCTGTTTAAGAGTATCATGGTTGAGTTTGATTTATGAAGCAAAAGGTGGATGTTAATCAAAATAAGGGTACTGAAGGTGTGGTACTAACCTTATTTTTTGTTGGTAATCCTGATATTCTTTCTGAGTCAATGGGCGCCCACCAGGTCCAACAGGCGGTCGAGGTACAGGAGGAGGTCTGATTGGTGGTCCTGGCATTGGTAAACCTGGAGGCAATGGCACAGGAATGCCTGGAATTGGAAGCCTTGGTGGAAGAATCAGAGGCAGCTGGGGAGGGCCTGGCAAACCAATTGGAACCGGAGGTTGTCCCAAGCCCGGAGGAACAACAGGTGCACGTGGCCTAGGCACATTTGGGGCAAACACAGGTACGCCAGGTGGAATAGGTGGTGGTAGTCTATTCTGAGGTGGTCTTGGTGCATGATCACGAGGACCAGGTGCTCTGTGACCTGGAGGTCCTACTGGTGGTGGGGGACCTGTCCCAGGAGGTAACAGAGGTGGAGATTTGCCTGGGGGCTGGTTTCCTGGAGGTACTGGCAACCTTTGAGGATGTAGCTGAATAGCAGGATGTGGGGCAGATATTGGAGGGCTTGTAAACTGTGGTGGCGGACCTGGACCTTGTGAAGGAGGCGGCCCTGAAACATATTGAGAACTAGGTACTGTTGCTGGAGGGCCATGATGAGGGGGATGTTGAGGTGGTGCATGATGGCCAGGAGGTGGTCCTCTATTAGTAGGTGGTCCGAAATTATTTTGATCTCTATGTGGAGGTCTGTATTCAGGATGTCCACCATGCTCTCTATTATTTGGTGGCCCACTGCCGGGGGGACCTCTATAAACAGGTGGACCATGATGATCAGGTGGTCGCATATGATCTGGCAATCCCATATGATTAGGTGGTCTTCTGTGATCAGGTGGACCCATATGATCATGTGGACCTCCATGATCATGTGGACCGCCATGATCATGTGGACCTCCATAATCATGTGGACCTCCATAATTATGTGGACCTCCATGATCATGTGGACCCCTGTGTTCCTGACGGCGATGGTGCTCTTGATATCCTCTTCTGTTATGGTGGTCATAATGAGGTGGTCCTCTATTGTGTGGCTCATCATCATAATAGTCTTCATCATCGTACTCATTGTCATTATATCTTTCATTGTGTCTGTTGTGCATACGACTATGATTTTGTGGACCACGCCTTTCCTGATGTTCATCTATATAAAGAGGAATAGATTAAGGACAATAAAAAAGGTGATTATACTCAATGCACTGTGATAGCTACACTTCGATAGCTACAACTTTGTTTATCCACAATATACAACTTATTTGCTTAGAACACTTGGATAGCAAAGTAGTCAATTATTTTATGATATGATATATTAATAAATACAATATTATTTTATTTTATTTACACATGATTTAAATAAACTTATGATGATTAATACTGTAAATAACAGGTGAAAATAAATTAATTACAACTATTGCAGTTGTGTATTCAGGATTGTAGTTTTGAATACAAGTTATGGATTTAATCACCAAACCCCAACTCACCGTATCTGTTCCTTTGCTGACCATCAGGTTGTTTCGCAAGAGTCTGAATAGAGCGGCCTGGAGCACTATTTTGATTGGGCGGTTGACTGCTGACCGGTGGCTTAGTTGCAACTTTTGGCTGAGCCTTTAGAGCACTCTGCTGCTGAAGAAGTTTTTGCCGTGCCAGCTGAACTGCTTGGGAGTATCCAGTATCATTTCTAAACTTAGCTATTGTCTGAAAAACGAGGACATGAAATTACCCAACTGTGACGAACTACAGGAAACGGGGGAGAAAAATGTTGGGGGCCATGTTTCATAAAAGGGGCAAAGGAGACGGTATATTCGAGTGACCACTCTCTACCTTAAAACAGTTCAAGTACATTCAACACAAGACTGAAAATACTCCTCATTATATATATTCCACTCTTTACAATAAACATTTTATGTATATTCAACACAAAACTGAAAATACTCAACATTATAGACAATGTCAGTGGCTTAGCCACCTGAGAGCCCATAGGTATTACACAACTGTGGAGGGAGTAATATATGATACTGATAATAATATCTAGGTTATCTAATAAGAGATTTAAGAGTTGTAAATACCTGTCTAAGTTGTTTATTTATGCTTAGGGAGTCAGGAGAGACATCAACTTCCTTACAATCAGGACACTGGTGTTCATCTGTAGACAGCAAAACCTCTCGAATACCTGTAATCACAAACATTTCAATTTATTCATTTTTTTTCCTTTCTGTGACTTTGGATTGAATTTTCGAATAGTCCACAGTCCTTCACACTAAAATAATTTGGTTCATTATAATCCTTGATCATTCCTTACTTAATATTTGTTAAAATTAATATTATCAAGTTTTATCCAATTCATAGAAATTTAAGTTGAAATATACCATACTTTTAAAGCTTATGTAAATATTTTATTAAATTCAAAACTCTTTTTTTGTAGAAATATTATTATGTTTGGTATCTAAAAAAAATAAATGTATTAGCTTCAAGGTGGAAACGATTGCGCAGCCGTAGTCATTGATTGCAAGTAGTGTGCATTGAGAAAAGAAGGTGCTCTCCATTTTGCCATGTTCAATTTTTTGATAAACTAAGCCTGCCGAGCATTTGGTGGCGGGGAACACATTAAAATTCAAAGGCATCGCGCAAACATTCTTTACTTGCTACGGCGGCTTTGTCCTTGGCCCATATGCATAGGGCTGCGTTTGCAGAGCTTTTTTGAGTGATCTTCTTGTAAATAATACCGCCATGGTTATACTGCCATATATGAAACTAACAAGTAACAGTTAGAAGAATAATCTTTGCAATGAAAACGTACATTCATCACAGAAGCTCTGTCCACAGCAAGGTATAACCACAGCATCTTTCAGGAGTTCTTTGCAAATTGGGCAGAGGAACTCCGCTGGAATGTCAGGCTCAATATCAAGAGGTTCATGGTTCTGTGAATTGTTGAAGGCTGGTGGACGATCTTTCTTCTGTATGGAATATGCAGCCCTGTGATAAATATGAAGTCATAGGTTTATTGAAAATAATTTATATATAATGTAATATTTATTTATACAAGGTTAATAATTACAGTATATTACCGTAAATGCTCAAATAAGCACCACTCTGGAATATGCGCCGCTCTCAAATAAGCGCCGCACCAAACCTGATTTTTTTCGCTAAGTGCCGCTCTCGAATGAGAGCTGCGGCGCCTGAAAGTATATATTACCGTGTGTAATGAAACAAATGCTTTTAAATACAATGTATACAGTGTTAAAATGAATGAATAACACAATGAAGACACAAGCATTTCTTTATAAACATTTATTCACGATGACGTAGGCATAACAACCGCCACGCCAATATATTTTTATAAGTGCTGCTCTCGAATAAGCACCGCACTGAAGCCTCCAAAAATGTTAAAAGCGCTGCGGCGCATATTCAAGCGTTTACAGTAGTAATAATAAAATCAGTAACATGGAGATAATAAAGTACAGACAACATAAGATAAACTGTTCAGATGTAAACTGTTATTTGCCAGTTGGCAGGAGAAGGCTGTGTTCAGTATGCAGTTCCAGTGGGGAAAGGAGGCTTAAGCTTCCTGTTGGGCAGGCCAAGGCCCCCATTGGTCACATGTTATTAGACTAAGAAAAAATTATATTTCTTAAATTGTGGATATGGTACGCACTAAAATGTCTCAAAACAGCTTAAAACTGCCCAGTTTTTTTTTATCCCCCTGAGCCTTGACCATGATTTCACCCCTACACCTTGCTGGTCTTGGTAGGATATTGCCTGTTCCCTGTTGGACAGCTTAGCACCTCCATTCCACCCTTTCCTAATAAGAAAACTCCTGGCACTACCACTGGCACTACCACTGGCACGAGAAACAAAGAGGATGTTCATATCTTGAAATTGCAAATAATTGATGGACTAGTAAACTCACTGCTCAATCCTTGGCACAACAAATTCTCCAGAGGGTAGCATTTTAGCGCCTTTTGCGTTTTCATCCGCTGGCCTTACAAAGCTGATCGGAATTCCTTTCATATCTTTTGGTTGAAATGCATTAATTTTTTGCTGATCCTAAAAATACAATTAAAAAATATATAGATTATTGACTTCAAATATGAATACAATTCATTTTTAAACAGTGAAGAGTGGCGGTTCAGGTGAAAAATGTGGACGCGACAAAAGTTGATGGAAGGGAATGGAATTTGGTTTAAAAAAACAGGGGATTGAATTCATTTTTTGATGAATTGGTATGAGCAAGAAAAAATAGTACACTTTGACAAAATATTATAGATTTATCAATTGTAATGTGTTTTAAATTATTAAGTATATGCATGTTATGTAAAGGATTAGTCATGTTACATATAGTTACTACATCCTTGTTAAAAACACTCTTTCAATATTTTTTTTTAGTTATTTCTTTTCTGCACTTTTACATTCATACGACGCATTGTAAAGTAATGTACTTACATTGTTTTTCGGACAATTTCTAACCATGTGTCCGGGTTTGTTACAGTTAAAGCACACAGGACGAGTACGTGCATGACGATGATAGCTGATAAAAGAAAAAATATTCAATCAAATATTAATTTTGAAATTGAGTTTTTAATAGTAAAATGTATTTCTATACACAGATACAGAGAGATAATTAAAGAAATCATTTTCATTAAATAAAACCTGTCATGAAGGAAGATCATTCTCATTGAAAGAGCATCAATGCATACAGCACAAGTGGTTGTGTTACCAATTAGCATACAAAATTCAATAAATGTCTAGATACACATGGTGGTGACTGCTTAAAAGATCTCTTCAGAAAACATTTGTTTTAATGAGACGATGTGTGATTAAATGAAAGAGGGAAGCTAGTTAATTTGAACAGATGGTAGCCAATCTGAACAGTGAAAAGACCTCAAACATCAATGCTGCTACAATGTATTACCAGGTAATGGAATGCTATTAATAGACTTTTCCCAGAGTATCAATCAAACCTGTCTAATAAGAAAAGCACTAGGATTACGTGTCCGTGTATGTTTTAACACTGTCGTCTTTTGGGACCTTAGCAACAATGGGGCGGGACTTAGCGCAAAGGTCCATTGCAACCCAGGGTGGGCATGATGGTTAACAGCGAATGGGGACTAAGGATTAAGTGAGATAATGTGACACAGTACTAGGTAATTTGTAATTGCTTGAGTGTACATTTTGTTACTCGGAAAATTTCCAGTTGGGTACCTTGGGGGTTGTGCACACCCACTTCCCCTATTGGATATAATTGCCATCCCAAAACCAACGTACTGTCCCTAAATATTAAACTGAGTAATTAGCATAAGAATATGGAAGTACTGTATTACAGGGGTGGGCATAAAAATCAGTCAGAGGGCCAAAGTGAATTTTGGTTTTTATCACAGACAGCCGCAACCAAACTTTGATGGTTCCAGTGTGCTTCCAAGAACTTTCATGTAATGCTTTTATACCACTTTATTCTCAGTTTTAATATTACTTTTTATAGATAATCGGTGTCGGGCCGTAAAGAACAATGTGTTTTCTAGCCAAAGATGGCTGGCGGGCCGCACACATAGGGTTTTAATTCGTTTTTGTGGGCCACAAAAAAATCTGTCAGGTCGCATGCGGCCCACGGGCAGCACTTTGCCACCTGTGTCTTTGGAAATAGTAAGTAGATTCCAGTCAATGACCTATAATTTTAAAGCTGATAATGTGGAGAATATGAATATATTAAAAAGTAAATTTTCTTGTTTTGGTCACTGATGATAATTTTGGTATGGCAAGCCACATATGTCACCGATGCAGCCAGATACTGAAACAATGTACTTACTTAGAAGGATCATACTCCAGGCCAGACTGATATACTGCCGCATCTATCTTGGCTGCTTCTGACGCATCAGCGGCTGCCAGATCAGCTACCTGTAAACATAATCAGAAACGAATCTTGTTAGTGTTTAAATATAATAAACTTGGTTCTTATAGTCACAATATTCCATCAGGCCAACAAATAGCCCCTATAACTTAAGAATTAAAGTAGAGCAGCATATATTTAATAGAAATTGAAATTTATGTACATAAAATAATTAAACACAAATTTTATGTTATATAACTTTTGCTTAAACTTTATGGGAATTTTGCAATATTTATTTTCTTGATGTTTTTCTTGTACTAATTTACATCTTTTGAATTTGTTTTAATTAATCTTGCAGTACTGTTTACTTGTTTTAGTCAATCATTTATGCTGTTTTAATTAATTCCAATAACGATGAAGTGTTAATTGTTTTTATGCTGAATTTAACAAAATAGCGAGCAAAAATAAAGGTGCCTTTAAAATGTGATACGGCAAGTGAAAGCGCATTTTGCAATAATTTTGGATTCCTTTTTTTCCCCTCTTGATATACTTTTTTGATGTTCTATTATTGACCCCTTTTTGTTTCTTTTCCCCCTAAAGGCCTGTTTATACTTCAACGATAACGATAAAAAAGCTAAAAAGCTTTTTAGCTTTTTTATCGTTATCATTATCGTTGAAGTTTAAACAGGCCTTAAATCAATGATTTTTTTAAGTGCTGTTTAAATTTTACATTTTTGATGTTGAATATTTTCACCTTCAAACCATGTTAATGAAATTTATTAATGTACACTTTGGATGTTTTCCCCTTAATTTTGGTGTTTGTCTTGTATTTTAAATGTTTTTATATATTCTTGTACTGTAAATTGTCTCATCCAATCACTAAACCGCTGTTCCGTGACAAAACAATGTAACTTGAAATTTTCACTTTTGAAGAAAAATAGAGTTAAAGTTTGCATGTTTGCAAATTGGTAATAAATTGTCGTACCCTTTTGAAATTTTACAGGATTGCATTATCTATAGACATTGTGATTATACGTAAAATTATGATTACAACCGTTCCTTAATTGCAAAGTAATTAGTGATATATTTACAGATACGTTGTTTTGCCTCGGAAACATGTCAGGATCTGTATTGTTGCAATTGCGACATATTTTTGGAATTTATCACTTTTGGGGCAATCATATGCATTATCTAGCTTGTTCATACGTCGTTAAGATTATTGATATTAAAACACCGAAACCACTTGATTTTAAGTTTTATGCTTAAAGATAGGTGCTGCTATCTCCGAAACAATCTCATTGTTGAGACCTAAAATTTTCAGACATATTTAATATACTCCCAAATAATATTACCTCAAAATTGACAAAAATGTCAGTTACGTTGTTTTGCTCGGGACGGCCGTATATATGTACGATTGCAATAAAGTTCAATTTGTATTTGAATTATTGTATCAATCACAGTATACTGTAGTGCAGTAAAATAAATATTAACTAACCTTACTTAACCGTTCTACGGCTAGTTGATGTTCATCCTGCAATAAAAAAATTCACAAAAATTGTTACAAATTTACCCCCCTCCTTGACCCGCTTGTAACCAGACCAGGGAGGTTCATGAAACAATACACATTAAATCAAGAAAACTAACAAAAATATGGTTGAAAAATGAATGTCTACAAATAGAAAACACATCAAAAGTGTTTTGTCATTAAGGCATGTTAGCTGTTCTATATATCATAATTACATAAATAAAAACAATAAGCAATAATAGTTGATGAATATTTAATATTAAAACGTTATAACCAATGAGTAAGTCTATAACCAATAATGATGGATGGAAATAATAATTTAAAAAATAAGCAATAATAATAATTGAATTGAATTATCACCATTAACAACATTGTTTTTGGATATTTTTTTTAAAGATGGTTAGACATTTGAAACAATTGAACAGTTTTTAATGTTCATTTTCAGATTCTTTCTAAAAACAAGTACCACCCCTGAAGGTGAGTACAGTATTATGTATAATAATTAAGCATTGGTGGATCAAGAATATATTATCAGGGAGAAAGCTATCCAACACAGGACTAAAACAATTCTGTCAGGTTCAAGAGAAAAGTTTCTTAACACCTAGAGAAATTTTGCAAGATTAATTTCATTCTTATACCTGTTTAGTGTATTCAATCCAGAGATGCTGCACATAGCCTTATTTAGATTGTTGTACACTTGATGCAATATATCAAAAGACAGTCACTGAAACAATTATTTTTATGTCAAGAAAGACATGTGTCCATTGGTTGGTTAATTAATAATAAATGATTTCTGAAACATTCAGCAAACTGATGGAGATCTCATCTGTTAACTGCATTTTGTAAATATTATCCACTCTACAAATCTATTGTTTTATAAGTTATAAGATTATTTTACATACTTTAGAAAATTTACTGTATAAAAAAAGTTGACTTTTTATAATAATACACACAGAATTCTTGAAGATAATACCTAGCTCAGTACAGTTAGGTTAAATTTCATAACTTATATTTTTTCACTACCTACTAATCTATAATGTGTGAAGGAGCCAAATACCAATTAATGCCATACCTAAGGGGGTGCGTTGTGTTCGTAAGCTGGGAATTAATTATCATCGTTAGCCAAAAGGCCAATCATTACTAGTGCTGAAAGGATAGAGCTTCCTGGGCCAGTGTCTTGGAGCCGCAACCAAAAATGTATTTTTTCTGAAAATAGTCACATTACCTACCTATTGTACTTTATTATGTCCATAATCATTTAAATTAAGCATTTAATATTTAAAAGGTTATTAGCATGCCATTAGGAGCCTCCGGTCAAGGTCTAGGGGAAAACAACTGGTGGGATTAAAGGGAGGGGGAACACCCTTGCCACAAAGGTTTTAGAATTGGCAAATTTTTTTAGTCGACAACGCCGGCAATATCAGAAGGAACAATTTTCCACGACAACATGAACCTCTAAATTGTGCCACCCCTGCTTGCAATATATGATGCTCTCTTTACGCATTTATTAAGTCATATTAAGTCATGTCTAGAGGAAAAAGATCTGCAGCTTACGCGATTAACATTCACACCACACGACCTAATAGCAATGTATAAAATTCAATATCATGCATTGCAAACCTACCCCCGTGCTCCTCCAAACTCTGGCACTCAGCACACTAAATTAAATCACCGAGGGGCATGTACACTTTCGACTTACGGTGTGCACACGCAAGTGTAGTCACATAGCATAAAAATTGTTTCAAACATACAGCATTAACTCGCAGCTGGCATCAAAATGTGCTCGTGTCTGGTAAGTTTTTCTATTAGAGACTATCTTTGCACTGTATGTGAAAATGTCGACCGATTAGTATTTAGCGTCAATTATGTGTTACTGGTTACCGAGGGGCATGTACACTTGTGACTTACGATGTGCACACGCAAGTGTAGTCACATAGCATGAAAATTGTTTCAAATACACAGCATTAACTCGCAGCTGGCATCAAAATGTGCTTGTGTCTGGTTTTTCTATTAGAGATTACTTTTGCACTGTATGTGAAAATGTCGACCGATTAGTATTTAGCGTCAATTATGTGTCACTGGTTACCCAGGCCCGTATCCTGGGGGCGCGATGGGTGTCTATGCACTCTACAGATTGGAAAAATTACTATTTTCAAGAAAGTCGAGAATGAACTGAAAATAAAATTACAATTTTCCAGTAATCTATCAAAATTTAGTAATGAAACTTGTTCATTACTTCAACAAGGGGATTAACATATTGTCTGTACATATTGAACCGAAATTGAAAAAATTGTGGGTCATAGGACTACTGTTTCAGAGCTTCCAGGGGTATTCCCTCAGGCCTTTACCTGAAGAACCAGACGATCCCCAGTCAATTCAGATCATAAAAATTATTGAAAATAGTAGATAGTCCTACAGTTAATGTTTTCAAGGAGTACGAGACCGACAATTATAAGCCTGCAGAACCCTTATAAAATACAGATGGGATCCAAATGGCTATGACTCCTTCACCTTGGCATAGATTCTAGGCGGTCCTTTGTAATTTATTGTTTTAAAAGATGTATTATTTTTTAAATATAATTGTAAATAAAAATATGATATACATTTTTAACTATATATTATCAAATAATACATATTTATTGTAGCAGTAATTAATGACTAAATTAACCTAAAATAGACAATTGGTTATAATTCTCTCTTCTTCCTTTTATATAGTTATGTATATTGTATGTGATGAATTTAAATGTTTTTCCATACTTTTTTTGTTTTTATAATGATAGATTGCAATAAAGTTCCTCGTATTGCCGAATTTTGTATCTCACATCCCAGTTTCTGTTGCACAACTGTCCAACAACTTTCTTGGGTTCTTTGCCGTGTTCACGCCGAGCATGAAGCTGCAGTATGCTTGAGCCGTGTCTTGCAAGCCTAGCTTTTGCGTTAATTAATGTCTATTTTTAGGCCAATAATATTAAGCTTAAGATTGGTTCTAGATGTGCCAGGCACACTCTGCAATGGCGCAAGTCCCCTCTGATCCCCCTGTGAGCGCATAAAATTGTGATAACATCTGCTGATTGTCTGAGTGGATTTTTGCTGCGAAGCAGCCAATTCATATTCTTGACAGCAATTTGACCTCTGAAAGGTCATTGTTTGTCAAAAAACAATCGCCTAAGACAACTGAAAAGCGGAGTTCCTTCTTTCGTTCTACCGGGTAAAATAAATTACTTTAGGCGACGTTTGTAGACTAACCTACTCGTACCAACGTCGGCATGTCGAGACACTGGAGTACTATTCAGCGTTTTTACTATATTTCTAGGTTTCCTATTTCTACGTTTAATCGGCTCATGTCTCAGCCACAATATTTTGAGGCCAATATTATTTACGAACCCAGTTAAACTTATTCACTAGCCTATTTCAACGTGCTAATTATTACATTTAGGCTTGTTGTAGACTGGCATAGTGTTTTCGGAAATAAATACCATTTTATACACATGCGCAGATCAATTCGCCAGCAGCGAGTCATCGCCAGCAGCAGCGAGTCGCCAGCAGAGATGTCACTGCAGCAAAACGCTATTGTACACGGTACCAACGCTGTTCTAATATAGACAATGGGTCGTGCTCATATTGTTTGTTATATTTTTATTATTCATTATTTTCACTTTACTCGCATAAATAATTTTGTTCGAAGAACATTTTATGCAGTTGTACTTCGCAGCATTTCACTTGCAATTTGCAATTTCTAGTTATTAAAAATAAACTGTTGCATTCATTGTGTGAGGTTTTCTATGAAATTGCGCCGGCTGAATTTAATAACAATAATAGGGTTTATTTTGTTTGTCACATGCCGTGTTGTGCTCTACACATAACACATGCCTTTAAGGCCTGTTTATACTTCAACGATAACGATTAAAAAGCTAAAAAGCGATTGTTCATATAGAAAACAGAGAAATAAGATAAGTTTTTACACTAGGTCGATTCAATAATGATTTATCGTGTATACGATAACAAAATAGTTTTAAAAAAACCAATCAGATGACGTCATAATCATGGAAAAACGATAAAATCGTCGCTAGTACTACGATTTTAATGTTTTTCCATGATTATGACGTCATCTGATTTGATTTGTCAAAATATGTTGTTATCGCATAACTGATAAATCGTTATCGAATCGTTCTAGTGTACAAACCTCTCTTATTTCTTTTATTTTCTTGAACAATTGCTTTTTAATCGTTATCGTTGAAGTATAAACAGGCCTTTAGTGTGTTACAGTATATCAAGCTCTGTCCACAGCATTTTCCATGACAAATAGGTATGATGATTACACCCACGATGATGCTTAAACACACGTAATGGGCAAATCACAAATACAGTACAAGTATTTGATAGTGTGGACACAGTGTTACTCTAAATATTCTGGCATTCTATTGAGTTCAACAAGTACTCTTTTTGCAGTGCAGAAAGTCTACGGTAAACAATCTTTTGTTTTCTACTCCCTTCTATTCTATTTTCTGCATAAAATACCCTACTGGATAAGCTGTGTGTGGTTTGGTATACGTATGTATAAGACCAAATCACACTACGTATAAATAACCTATGACTAGCCTAAAAACAATAGAATATTAAGCAAATTATCTAACTGTAGAAAAATCCTAAAAAAACTTGTCAGCTAATGATTACTGTATATATATATATATAATCCAATGGAATCAGCATTAGATTTGAACCTACTGTATCCTCCTACGATTTGAATTCTTAACACCTGGCCAGTCATGTGGAAGTTAAATTATTCCCTACAATAGTAGGTCTAATAGAACTTATATAAATCCATAATGAACTGGGATCTGTCACAATGTCAGTGAAAGTGCAAGCGAAATTTGACAGCTATAATATAATGGCAAAACTAACATGGTAGTGCTAATTAACTAATCGACACATGCAGAGTACAGCATGTGTCCATGTGACTAGGTAGGGTGCTGTTACATACAGTGGAACCTCGATTCTACATGCTT